CCTCCCCTCACCCACCCTCCTGCAAGAATGCGATCCCCTACTCCCAATTCCTTCTACTCCGCCAAGTCTGCTCCCAAGATGGAGCGTTCCACTCCCAAACATCCCAAATGTCCTATTTCAAGGACTGTAACATCACCCCTCCAGTGATCAAAAATGCCCTCAACCACATCTCTTGAATTTCCTGCACTTCTGCCCTCACAACCCCTCCCCCAACAAAAATAAAGACATAATCCCCCTTATTCTCACATACCACCCCGCCAACCTCCGCATCCAGCATATCATTCTCCGTCACTTCTGCCACCTACAATCTGACTCCACAACCAAAGAGATATTTCTCTCCCCACCCCTATCTGCCTTTTGTAGAGACCGCTCCCTCCGTGACTCCCTCGTCTGCTCCACTAACCCCACCACACCCGGCACCTTTCTCTGCAACCACAGGAAGTGCTATATCTGCCCCTACACCCGCCCACCCCTCACTTTCATTCAAGGCCCAAAATGCACCTTTCATGTCAGCTTCACCTGTACATCCATCAACTCCGTCTACTGTATCCGCTGCTTCCAATGTGGCCTCCTCTACATCGGGGAGGCCAAGCATAGACTTGGAGACCATTTCGTACAGCATCTGCACGCTGTATACAAACGACAACACCTTCCGGTCTCCAACCATTTTAACTCCCCCTCCCACTCCCTGGGTGACATGTCCACCCCAGGCCTCGTCCAGTTTCACAACAACACCACCTACAAACTGGATGATCCACACCTCATATTCCATCTCGGGAGCCAGTACCTGATGGCCTAAACATGGAATTCACCAGTTTTTAAATCTCCCCACACCCGGCCTCATCCCATGTCCAACCGTCCCTCTCATCCCCGCCTCCTTGACCTGACACAACCTGTCCATCTTCTCTTCCACCTATCCGCTCCACCCATCCCAATGTCCAATCCCCACCACTTCCTACATGCAATCACCATCCCACCTACCTTCCCCAGCCCCACCCCACTTCTCTATTTATTTTCCAGCTCCCTTTGCCGTCCTCATTTCTGAACAAGTGTCTCGACCTGAAATGTCAACTTTCCTGCTCACCTGATGTTGCCCAGCCTGCTGTGTTCCTCTAGCTCCACGCTATGTTGACCTATTTATTCTTATCTGTTCCCTATACACTCACCAAATCTCAATCCATGCCAGCAGACTACCACCAATCCCACATCTTTGATTTTACACACTAAACCCTTAAGTGAGACTTTATCAAAAACTTTCTGCTAATCAAAATAAACCATGCCTGATTCTCCCTCACCTATTCTACTAGATGCACTCTCAAAATCTTCAGTAGGCTTGTCAAATACGATTTCCCTTTCATAAATCCATGTCGACTTTGTACAATGCCATTGGTGTCTCCATTCGTTATAATAGAGGCCAGCATTTACCATAAAACTGTTAGGTTAATTGGTTTGTTACTTCCCCATTTTTCCCGCCACCATTTTGCAAAAATGGGTTGCATTTACTACTCTCCAGTTCCAGAATCTACAGAATTTTAGAAGATGACAACCATCACATCCACCATTTCCATGGCCACCTCCTTCAGTACCTTAGGATGTACACATTACCAGACTCTAAGGATTTATTAGCTTTCAGTGCTATTACTTACTCCAGCACTAATACTAATCTCCTTCAATTCCTCCTTCTCAAGAGAGAATTTCTGGGAAATTATCCCTTTTTTTTCTTTGAAGACAAAACTAAAGTATTGTTTCCTTGTACTTCATTATCAGTTCTCTTGTTCCAGATTGTAAAGGTTTTATATTTGTCTTCACTAATCTTTTTATTTTTGCATACTATAACAAGCTCATGCAGTCCACTTTCATGACCCTGGCAAGTTTACTCTACTTTTCCCCTCTTAAATCAAAATCTTAGTTCTCCTTTGCTAAATTCTACACTGATTCTAGTCCTCAAGCTTACTACTTCTTTGAGCAACTTTTTATGACTCTTCTTTGAATTTAATACTATTCTTCATTTCTGTTATTAACCATAGTTAGGCTATTTTTCTTGTTGTGTTCATTTGCCCGAAAGGAATCTCTAACTGTTGCACTGCTCACATTCACTGCTTAAATATTAACTGTCAACTGTTATGCCTTTTAAATGAAGTAATTCAATCTTTTGCAGCCAAAGTTTGTCTCCGTTACAACAATTTGCACTGTTAATTTGATTACCTTATGACAAACACTCCACACATTCAGATACAGTACATTTAGACTTGTGTTTAAAAATGTTAAAAAGACATCTTTGCTTATGCTCCAGCAATATCACATGCTGGTCCTGCTCGGCCTTCCATTACTGCTTTCTGCTTTTCTCATTCTGGTCTCCACAATCAGGTTCTCGTAACCCTGCTACTCTAGCCTGAACTCTCCTCCACCAATCAGCACTCACAGGACAAATATTTTTCCCTTTTAATTGCTATTTATTGAAAATTGTCCTGATGAGTGCAAGACAAAAAGCTTCAACAAAATGTGTCTTCTTTCAGCAACACTCAAGTTCCGAACTACTAAATTTTCTTAGGAACACAGGGGTAGGACATTCAGACCTGCAAGCCTGCTTTGTCATTCTAGATCATGGCTGATCATCCACCTGAAAGCCATCTTCCTACACTAACCATAAATCCCTTGATGCAATTAGTAATTGGAAAAACATCTATCCATGTATTGACTTTGAGTTTCCATAACCTCGAGGGGAGAGAATTCCAAACATTCACTTCCCTCTCAGTGAAGATATTCCTCCTCAGTTCAGTCCGAAAAGGCTTGCCTTTTATTCTGAGACTTTTCCTTGTTTTGAGTTCTTGCAGTCATGGAAATCATAGAATTATGGAATCCCTACGGTGCGGAAAGAGGCTTTTTGGCTCATCGAGTCCACATCAACCCTCCGAAGAGCATCCCACCCATCCCTGTAGCCCCACATTTACATGGCTAATTCACCTAACTTACACATCCCTGGACAATTTAGCATAGCCAATCCACCTAAGCTGCACATCTCTGGACTGTGGGAGGAAACTGGAGCACCGGAGGAAACCCATGCAGACACAGAGAGAATGCGCAAACTCCAAACAGTCAACCAAGGCTGGAATCAAACCCACGTCCCTGTGAGGCAGCAGTGCTAATCACCGAGCCACCATGCAACACCAATATCCTTTCCGCATTGACTCTAAGAATTTAAAAAATTTCTACAAGATCACTGCTCATTCTTCTAAATGCCAAAGAATACAGGCCCAGTCTCTTCAATCTCTCCTCATTGGATAATCGCACCACCCAGGAGTCCATCTCGTGAACTTCGGCTACGGTCCCTCTCTGGCCATTACATCTTTCCTTAGGTAAGGGGATCAGAGCTGCACATTAATACTCCAGGTACAGTCTTAACAATGTTCTACAAAATCGAATCAAGGCTTCTTTATTCCTACTCTCAAATCATCTTGCAATAAAGGTGAATATACCAATTACCTTCCAAATTGCTTGCTACACCTACATTCTAGCTTATAGTGATTTTTGAATAATGATAACAAGCTGAGGTTCTTTTGGACATCAATTTCCAATTTTTCACCAATAAAGAAATATGTTGCATCATCTTCTTGTGACAAAAGCAGATAATCTCACACTTAACTGCATTGTATTCAATTTTTGCCCACTCAGCCAGTCTCTTGAAGCCTCTTTGCATCTTTTCATGACTGTTATTTGCACCAGGTTTTGTACCATCTGCAAACTTGGAAATATTACAAATGGACACTACATCCAAATCATTGATACAGATTGTGAACAACTGGGGTCCCAAGCACTGATCCTTGCGATATCCCACTGGTCACAGCCTTACAACCTGACAATAAGCCATTTATTCCAAGATTGACTATTTTCTTCAAGACAAAAGATTCCCTTTTGGCATTAAAGTTAACATTTAAAAAATGGTCTATCAAGTGATCTTCTTAGTTAATGCAACAACAGTACATTCAAAAAGCAAAGGATGGGCTAGGATATATTTTGCAACAAATAAATATATTTGAAAGGTGGCAGGACACAATGATAAACCTGTTTAAAAAGTAGCATACAGAATGCTTGGCTTTATTATCCAAGGCACAGAGTTGAAAAGCAAGAAAGTGATAGCTATCACAAATGAGACCTTAATTATGCCAATTGTGAGCACAGAATTTTTGAAATTTTTGAATTTTTATAGCCTTGGAGAGGTCTCAGAGGAGACTTAATAGAAAGATACCGGGAATGAGGGAATTCAGCTATGTGGAGAAGCACCCGACATAGATCCCCACTATGTTGCCACAATTCTAATATCAGCAACCCTCCCCAACCCATTTCTTTCATCCCTTCCTTGCCATTTGCTTTGCATTCTTGCTATTCCTATCTCGTCCATCAATTTCATTCTTCATTGAAACACTGTGTCCAACCACGGTAACTTTGCTGCTGGTTTTACTTGTTTTTGTTTTCCAACCAAGCCCCTCACGATTGCTGCCATTGCCAATCCCTAGAAGCTGCATGTGCTTCACACACTCCAGTCCTCCATTAACCTCAATTGCCTGTATTCTTCTCACACACTCCACACGAAATAAACAGACATGTCTCTTAAAGTGAGCAATTAAAACTGGGCAGTCAAAAACAGTTGACTATTACAATAAATTGAAAAATCTCATTTTCAGAAGGTCACATCAGAGATGGAAACAGCAAAGAAGAAGCTTATTCAAAGACAAGGTCTGGGAACTATATATATTTATAGTATATCACTGCATTTTGAGGATTCTTTCAGCATAATTGATGTTTGTAGTGTTTCGTGCACTCAACCTAATACTCTCAGATATAGGACTATATCTGATGACAAAGAAGTTACAAGCTATGTCTTTAAGAAATAGCTTAAAGCTTTTAAGATCTTTATAAGCAAGATTGTAAAATTAACATACATTGTCAGTTATAAATCCTACTCATTAACAAAATGCCTGAAAATAAATGGATGGACTTACTAGTATAGGACTTCATTTGCTTCATGTCTTTCATATCTGACAGTTTCACACATTAATCTGAAACATAAAAATATAATACTTGAGTGTGATCAAAAATAAGTAACAGAGGAAAAATTTTCAAACAAACTCAAAACTTCATTACCTAAAAACCAAAATTACAATTTCCCAACAGGAAAATAATATTTCATTTTGGGACTAAAACATAAACCAGTGAAAATGCATGGCAAATCAATCAGCATCTATGAAAAGAGAATTTAAATTTTATCTTTGAATGGAAATCAATGTCATTTGTGCAAATCAATGAAAGGACACAAGAGTGAATGTACAGATAAATAAATTGGTGAAATTAATTAGGAAAGCCAATCCAAATAAAAAGGATTAATAATATGGACATACTAGAAGAAAAGTCTAGAATTCAAGTCATCACTACCTGAAAGACACGGACAGACCACACAAAAAATAAATCAACGCAACAGCCTAGGCAAGTAATACTTCATCTAAACTTATAACAGAAGACCCACACCCAGAGGCCCAACTATCTCTCCTTAGATTACAAACCAAGTCCACATCCCCAACTCAAATAACTTAACGTTAATACCAGAAGACTGCACAGACAACTAAACAAAGATGGAATATGCTTAACAGATTTAGAAATGCAAACAATTTATTTACATTTGGTGTTTCCAATTCAGTACTATTCATGATGAACACCAATTCAATTGTAGAAAGTACATTAAATTGCTGTATCCTGTTTAACTTGTGTTTGTGCCACTGGAAATGAATGGCTGTGTTATACAGTGCTTGCAGTGACTGGAATAATGAGAAATGGAGATCATCGTAGAATCACAGAATCCCTACAGCATGGAAACAGGCCTTCGGCCCAACAAGTCCACACCGAACCTCAGAACATCCCACCCAGACCCATCCCCCTGTAACCCACCTAATCTACACATCCCTGAACACTATGGGCAATTTAGCCAATCCACCTAACCTGCACATCTTTGGACTGTGGGAGGAAACTGGAGCACCCGGAGGAAGCCCACGCAGACACGGGGAGAATGTGCAAATGCCACACAGACAGTTGCCAGAGGATGGAATCAAACCTGGGTCCCTGGTGCTGTGAGGCAGTAGTGCTAACCACTGAGCCATCATGCCACCCTCAAAGGTAAAATGTAAGGTAAGACTGGATGTTATCGAAACTGGAGGGTTTGAGTTATAAGGATAGGCTGGGGTCTTCTTTTCCTGGAGTATAGAAGGCTGAAAGGTGACCTTATAAAGGTTCATTAAATCGTGAGGGACATAGATGAAGTGAATAGCCAGGGTCTTTTTCCAGTGTAGGGAAGTTCAAAACTAGAGGACATAGGTTTCAGGTGAGAGGAGAAAGAATGAAAAGGGACCTGAGGGGCAACTTCTACAGAGAGGGTGGTGCATATATGGAACAAGCTGCCAGAGGAAGTCGTAGAGGTGAGTACTATTACAATATTAGGTAAGTTTTAGAGAGATGTGGGGCAATCGCACATAAATGGGGAAAGTTCGGCTTAGGATACTTAGTCGGCATGGATGAGGTGGGCTGAAGGCTCTGTTTCCATGCTGTATAACTCTGACTCTATTAGAGCACGTTTAGGACTGAAATTCATGATCCAAGAGGGTGCAAAAGGCATGCTGTTATGATCAAATGAAGTGGTGTAAAACAAGATCCCCTCTGTTTAACCTACTCAACTGGTCACAAGAAAGGTTTAATGATTTTGCATGAGGTTATCCTCCCTCTCCAGTTTAAAAATAGAGTTTACTATTTTTGTTGCGAACAAAAGGGAGCCAATCAACAGGTTTTCACAAGTCAAGGGAAAGTGTAAATTTATTAACTGTCAAATCCAAGGAAAATAATTTTAAAAAGTTAACATCAAGCAACAGTTTCTGCGCATTCACTTGGGCCCATACACACAGGTACCAATAATGTCCAATACAAAGGAAAATAAAATTATACATGATTTAGAGTTCTTTTTGAGACATAAGGTTTGAATCAGTGGTCAACTTGATTAGCTGGTTTCTTGGAGGGAGTCAATGGTAACAAATGAACAATTGTTGAAAATTCTCATTTCTTTTTGACTTTTCTCTGTAGCAATTCTGTGATAACTGGATGCCAACTTGTTCAGAGGGAGAAAATGGAGACACAGCAGCTTCTCTTCAATTATCTACCAAAATGCTTTGGAACTTCCCTTCGCAATACTGGTTCCAGCAGGTGTTTCCAAGAGGCTCTTTCGGTAAATGTGTCTGTCTGTGATAGCATTGTGTCAATGTTCAGTGTTTTGGGTTCTTAGTGCCTTCCTGAGACTGTGATAGGTTTTGGTGAGGGAGAAGCTGGCTGTTGGTTCATAATACGGACCATCCATTTCTAGAGTTTTGCTGGACCTTTAATGTAGATTGGGGGCAGGATTAATCCTTTTTATTTGAGGCAAAAACAAAAATTGCTGGAGAAGTTCAGCATGTCTGGCCACAGCTGTAGAGAGAAAGTACAGTAAGGGTGGGAAGACTAAACAGATAGTTGGAGATTCATTTATTTAGAGACTGTATCCCATGAAAGAAAGAAAGACAGTTAGGCAGAGTGATAGATGACTGAAGACCAGGGAAGGAGAAAAGCTGATAATGGGATTCATAAGATAACATGGCGTAGAGCTGGATGAACACAGCAGGCCAAGCAGCAAGAAGGGTCGAGGCCCGAAACGTCAGCTTTCCTGCTCCTCTGATGCTGCTTGGCCTGCTGTGTTCATCCAGCTCTACACCTTGTTATCTCAGATTCTCCAGCATCTGCAGTTCCTACTATCTCTGAAACAATGGGAATCATAAGTTTTGTTATTTGAAGAACAGGTTTCAGATTTAAGCTTTTGTTCCGCAATACCTGTGGTCAGGAAGTCTTATTCCCATGTCAACATTGTTGAAAGCTCATTGTGAGCTTTATATTTCAGATGGTGAGTTTTTAATCCCACATAATTATCCCTCAGCTAACCGTTACAGATGTGGTAATCAGTCCCAGCCACTAGACAGTCCTTTGTATATTCATGAAATTTTGATTATGTTCAGATCAAGAGACTTTGGCAGTCATTTACAAGTAGCCCAGTTCATTTTCAATGGTTTTTCTCTTAATGCCAAAGACCAAGGCTTTCATCAAGTTGACGAAATTTTAAAGATTAAAAGCTCATATTTTTATATCATCATCACAAGAATAAATTGAGGCCTTCAAAAGAGAATTCGATAATTATTCAAACAGAGATGATTTGTAGGACTAGAGGATAAAGTAATTGTGATTCTAGTCTAAATATAGGTTGGACAATGGGATCCGGAGATTACAGACGGAGAGGTCAATCTGAAACGAACCCATAAAATTTTTTATTTTCCCCCACAGTGTAAATGCAGAAAGGATGTTTCCCCAGTTGTGGAGTCTAGAACCATGGGATACAGTCTCTAAATAAAAGGCATGGCAAGGCATTTAAGGAGTGACATGAGGAAGAACTTTCTCATTGAGAGGGTGGTAAATCTATAGAATTGTCTATCTCAGATTGCTATGGAAACTCAGAACATTAATAAGTTCAAGACATGGATTGATAGATTTCCAGTAACGAATGATATCAAGATATATGTGGACAGTGCACAAACATGGCACTGAGGTGGTGATCAGCTATGATCTAGAATAGTGGGGTAGGATCTAGAGGCAGAACAGTCTACTCCTGTTCCAGTCTAGCAGAGACTCCTGTAATCTGCCTGATTTGAGTGACTATCTCTGCAGGTTGACCATGTCAACTTATTACCGAATGTAGAGGTACGTCTTCTGGATGGAATTCAGCAGTTCTCAGAGTGTCAAGAGATCTCTGATGTTGTTTTCTCCACTGTGGCAGATCTGTGCCAGTGAAGTGCTCACCAGATTGAGTCCCCTGGTGACTTCCTTTATGGTGATGGAGGATGCAGGTGAACACTATGACGCTGTATTCTCAGAGGCTTCGGAGAAATCATCCTAAAAGTACTGCTGAGGAAGACTGCAGCCTCTCGTGCTTCACTCTGAGATATGTACCTACTACCTACAGAAGAGAATAATTCATTGAAGATTCGCATTTCTACACGTAAAGGTTTGTGTGAGATTGTCTACACATTTGAGAAGAACAGTATACAATGTTTCTCATTTATCCTCCTGGCATTGCTACCTCACCATCTGTGAAGGACCAGTCACAGTCCTCACCAGACAATTCAGATGTCTGTTGTTTGTAGACATGAGGATTTGGACATCTGACATGCCTCCACCTGTTTAAGACCCCTCCCTCTGGCTGTGGGTGAGCTTATCTTACAATGTCAGAGAGAGAATGAATGATTGTGATGGAAATAGAACATTTGTACTTTGAGCATTCATAGCCATGCAGGGAGGTAAGCCCGCTCCCGTGAGGGAGTACAACATGCAATGCCAGGCAAGTTTTAGAACATTGACAGTACAAGTTGGCTGTGAACTATTCAGTGCACATCAGGTATGCGATGCTGAGGCTTGCAGGCCTATGTAACATGTCTACACAGTAGCATAATCAGACTGTGATAAATGTAAGATACAGCACTTATCCTTGCAAAGAGCAGGAGATGGCTCATCTTTGACCTGCTGTAGGATCTGGGTGTTTTTGTGCAAGATGCTAGAGCTGACGTGTGCCTCAATGTTTCTCCAGGCCATCCATATCTGACAGAGGGCTTCCTGATGCCATGGGAAAGGGACCTCTTTTATTTGTTGGACAGACTGGAGCAGAGTTGTTTTGGATACCTCACTGAAATCGTGGCCACTTTTGTTTGCTCTGTGACAGCTCCAACTAGGGTGGAGACGAACATACAGTATAACAGAATAAATCAAGAGACAATGAAGCCATGTAACAAAGGCAACTAGTCACGGGTGACTTTATTCTTCATGTATGTAGGGATAGTTAGATTGGCAGAGGTAGCCATGAAGAAGAATTCAGAGAGGGTATTTGGGACAGTTTTCTAGGTTGTGGTTGTGGATCCAACCAAGGATCAGGCTATTTTGGATCTATTAA